GCCAAGCAGGCTGTGATGCCCACCTCCACATCCACATTAGCAATAGGCACTAAATTACATTTAGCTCCCTACACTGAGTCTGTTCTGCCTGTTGATAGCAACTGGCAAATGATCTTCCTGTCCTTATCTCAACCCATCAGCTTCTTTCACTGTATTTTTTCCCTGTTCTGTTGAGAAATAAGAGCAAAAGAGAGCTGCAGGACAGGCCAATGCTGAACACAGTAGCATTTGCTGCTTTCTGAGCTGGTTGGCATGAAGGGAGATGCCTCCTGCAGAGCATGGGAATGGGGAGGAAGCCGGGGAGGATGGAGATGTCTGAAATCAGCCAAGGCTGGGAAAGGCACAGGAAAATGCAGAATTACAGAATCATAGGGGCTGGAGGGACTCTAGGCATCACCTCAGCCATCCCCCTGCTAAAGCAGGTTCCCTACAACAGGTTGCACAAGAAAATGTTGAGGTGGGTTTTGAGTATCTCCAGAGAAAGAGACTCTACAACCCTTATGGGCAACCTGTTCCGCTGCTCCAGAGTTCCTGGAAGCAGCTCCAGGAAACAGAAGCTCTCTACAGCACAGAGCCACTCTTCTAATCCCTTTCTTCTTACGGTCTACTCCTTCTCTAGGTATTTTCTTGTCACTAACTGATTTGGACTGCAGTTCATTTTGCAGCTGCTAGTGAGAAAGAAAACAGCTCCTCGCAGGAGCTGGTAACAGCCAGACTCCATTTCCTTTTCATTTCCTTCTTTTCAGACCTTTCTTGCTTCATAAGGTACATGTCTGTGAGAGGAGACAGCTGTCTCCATGTGCAAATGTAGCAAGGGCTCCAGGAATACTGCATTTGTTTCTAAATAGGAAAACAAAATGGAAATCTTGCGTTCTTCATCACTGAAACATGGGATCAAACTGTCTAAGGAATCACATAATAAGAAAAATACGTAATCTCTGTGGTGGGATGGGGAAAAGTCCAAGCCAGACCCTGTGACAGCACACATCACACATGCCCAGTCTCCAGCGTGCTGCTGTAGAGAACTGGCACGCTCCTCTCTGTTCCCTGCTCATTTATATGGGGTTTGTTTGTGCAAGCTGTTATCTGTTCTGGAGTTATACAGAATAATCTTAAAAGAATTTAAGCACCTGGCAAACGTTTATCATTATCCCAGCTGTTTCATTTGCTGTGTCACTTCTGAAAAGCATATTCGTGTCTTTTCCCGAGCCACAGGAAATCTCATCTTGGCATTTTAATAAATAAAACACCACTAAGTGTCTGCAATTTAAAAAGTTAATTTTTTGATTAATTAATTTTTAATTAGAAAAGTCAATTTTTTGTGTGAGTCAACATCAGAGATACATCAGAGATTCAAAGCACTGCACCAATGCCTCAATACTTTCTCATATACTTATCATTTTACTTGTGCACACATGCATGGCACGTGCAAGTTTTTGAAAGAATTTCGGACAGCACTGCAGATAAAATGCTTAAATATGGGTATAAGATGCAGCCAGTTAACATGTCGTGGTGAAACAATGCTTTATTCCTCAGCTACTGATTACATACATTCTGGGCATGTAGATCAGCAGTGCACGGGCAGAGATTTGGGATTTAATATCTCCCCCTCTCATCTCTCGCCCTCCTGGCACAATCCAAAACCTACTGCCTTTCTGTTTCTAAAGCAACACCACGTTTTTATTGTGGCGGAAGAAAGATATTCTCACTCACAGCAGTATCAACCCTCTGCTGCTTTCAACAGAAACACAAAACCAGCGTAAGGACAGCTTCACAGGAAGGCAGACTCTTCTGAGATAAAACATGGCAGCTCATTCCCAGGCTGCAAAGCAGAGCATGGAGTACAGCAAGCTCAGCTCCGTAAGTCTGGAGAGTCAGAGCTCCTAGGTCCAATCCCTAACAGGTTTGTGCAGCCCCTCCTTAAAGTGCATGGACATGAAGAAGTCACTATCTTGTTGGATGCCAGTAGATTCCTCTTGTTTTAATTAGCATCATTAATTCCTTTTTGTTTGCTTACTTGATTTTAATTATTAGATCAACAGAGATATTTTCATCACTAGAAGACTGATGAGGCTGCAGGATGCATGTGGTTTTGCCTGACAGAGGTGCAGAAATTCCTTAAGCTTGGCTTGCAAAGATGAAAGAGCAGCTTGTTCTATTTGCATGATACAAAAAACAGACATTTCCTATATGAACCAAAGTACCTACGTTCTACAGTGATGCTCAATATCTCACTTTCCAAGAGGGGGATTGTTCGTTTTATTTAAATCCAGAATCATAGAATCATAGAATGGCTTGGGTAAGAAGGGACCTCAAGGATCATCAAGTTTCAACACCTGTCACAGGCAGTGCTGCCAGCTGCTAGACCAAGTACTAGATTGGGTTGCCCAGGGCCCAATCCAACCTGGCCTTAAACACCTCCAGAGATGGGGCATCCACAACCTCTCTGGGCAGCCTGTGCCAGTGCATCACTGCACACACAGTAAAAAATTTCCTCCTGACATTGAATCTAAATTTTCCCTCTCTTTGTTTAAAACCATTCCCCCTTACCCTGTCACTGCCACATGTAAGAAGTTGATTTCCCTCATCTTTATAAACCCACTTTAAATACTGCAAGGCCACAGTGAAGTCTCCCCACGCCTTCTCCAGGTTGAACTAGCCCAGCTGTCTCAGCTTGTCTTCATAGGAGAAGTGCTGCAGCCCTTGGTTCATGTTCATGGCCCTCCTCTGGTCCCCCACTAAAAGCTCCACATCTTTCCTTTGTTGGAGCCCCCAGGCTTGGATGCAGTGCTGCAGATGGGGCCTCACAAGGGCAGAGCAGAGGGGGACAATCCCCTCCCTCTCCCTGCTGGCCACCCCTCTGTTGATGCAGCCCAGAACATAGTTGGCCTTCTGGGCTGCAAACACACACTGCTGGCTCATGTTCAACTTTTCACCCACCAGGAACTCCAAGTCCTTCACAGGGCTGCTCTTGGGGAGTTCTTCTTCCAGTCTGTCCACATGCTTGGGATTGCCCCAACCCAAGTGCAATATGTTGCACTTGGCCTTGAATTAGGTTCCTGTGGACCCACTCATCAAGCTTATCCAGGTCCCTTTGGATGGCATTCCTTCTTTCTATTGTGTCAATCGCAGCACACAGCTTGGTGTCACCAACAAACTTGCAGAGGGTGCACTTGATCCTACTGTCCACATCACTGATAGAGAATTCAAAGAGTACCAGTACCAATTTAAAGAGTCCCAGGACAGACCTATGTGGGACACCACTCATGACTGGCCTCCACCTGGACAGTGATCTGTGGAACAGCAGATACAGCCAAGGAGTTCCAGGGAACCTTTTTGTGCCAGGCTGACCCAGCCAGGTAGGCAGCGGCGATCTGCTAAGGAAAAAGCTCTTGATCTTGAAACTGTATTTTTGGCCAATAAACGAGGGAGCCAAAATTGTTTTCCAGCTAAGCGCAGTTGTTTAGAATATCAACACAATCCAAACACGTTTCCCAGCTGTCCCTCAATAGGAAGAAATGATGAGGCAGTTATTTTTGCATAGGTATGAAGTGGTGTGTCAGTCTTCTTGCTTCTTGCTTCTTGCTTCTTGCTTCTGCTTCTTGCTTCTGCTCTACCACAGAGAGTCAAAACCAACTGCCCTTGAACCCCACGTGCTTTTCTCCAGAAAAATAGTCTCTTGATGAGGAAAAAGCAGAAAAAAACAAGCAGTAAGCTAATTAGGGGACTCTGCATGTAAGTGAGTCTTTTCATTTTCTTTGCTGTCCACATCCCTTTTGGAATCATAAGCCTTCATGTACTTTTAACTGACACTTCAACCACTTTCAGGAACACACATTTCTTCCAGTGGTCACTGATGGCTTCTTTATAGAGATACATAGTTGTGGAATGAAGTAACTCCCTTGCATTATGTTACCAAATCTCAAAGTTATTACATTGCCTCTTTTGGAATCAATAAGAATTATCCAGTTAATTACAATTCATTCTCCCCATAAAAGACAGTAAATGTGAAGTCTGGGTTTATTCTGTTAACCTGTTAGACCATGAACAGAGGCAGTCAAACCATGTAGGAGCAGCTCATCTTTCAGCAGCCCAATGCAGGTATTTGATATCTAGTAGGCATTTAAGCTCTCAACCATTCACTCAAGACAACATGACAATAGTTTAAACACACAAAACCCTTTTTCTCTCCCAAGCTTTCTCTCTCTGGGCAGCCCAAGTAACAAATTCTGATCCTGCCCTTCTGCTCTGTGCTATGAGGCCTCACCTGGAGTACTGCATCCAGATGTAGAGTCCTCAGCACAGGAGGGACATGGAGCTGCTGGAGTGCATCCACAGGGCCACCAAAATGATCCAAGGGATGAAACGCCTCTCCTATGAGGACAGGCTGAGGGAGCTGGGGCTGTTCAGCATGGAGAAGAGAAGGCTCCAGGGAGACTTGGGAGCAGTCTTTCAGTAACAGGGGCTGTAAGAAGGAAGGGGACAGACTCTTTAGCAGGGTCTGCTGTGGGAGGACAAGGGGAAATGGTTTCAAACTAGAACAGGAGAGATTTGGACTGGTTCTAAGGAAGGGTTTTTACTATAAGGGTGGTGAGGCAGTGGCACAGGTTGCCCAGAGAGTGGCGGATGCCCCATCCCTGCAGTCACCCAAGGTCAGGCTGGATGGGCTCTGAGCACCCGATGGCGCTGCAGGTATCCCTGTTCACTGCAGGGGAGTTGGACCGGATGGCCTTTAGGGGTCCATCCGTAGTCAAGCAGCTCTATGACTACATACTGCAAAGTTTGCACGCTCGCCCTCCCCCCCCAGCGCCCAGACACCCCTCAGCCCCTGCCCGCCCCCCAGAGGGAAGCTGCGCCCACCTCCACCCCCTCGCCTCCCATTGGCCGAAGCAGCCGCCCGTCAGCGGCGGTTGCCATGGGGACGCCTTCGCCGCTCCGCCGCCCTGAGGGGAGGAGCGGCGGCGCTATGGGGGCGGGGCGAGCTGTGGGCACCGGCACCGATGCACGGCGCGGACGAGGAGGAGGAGGCGGCGGCGGGGAGGGGGCCGCGAATGAGCGCGGCGAGCACGCAGACCGACAGCATGGCTGGTGAGCGCCGCCACGCGTCCGCCGCGAGGCGCCCCGGGGCGGGGTGCTGCGAGGGGCGAGCGGCCGCGAACGGCCGGCCTTAGCGCGCGGCCTGAGGGTGGCTGCGGCTGGGCGCTGAGGGAGCGGAGAGCCACTTGTGGCCGGGACGGGTTTGGGCAGCTCTTGCACGGCGCTGTGGGGTGCTGCGAGACTGCAGCTCCCTGCAGGAAGGCCCTGAGGGCCTGCGGCGTGTCCGGAGAGGGGCGGCTGAGCTGTGAGGGGTCTGGAGCACAGATCTGATGGGGAGCGGCGGAGGGAGATGGGATCGTTTGGCTGGGCTGTATGGTCCAGCTAAAAGGGGGTTGGATGGTCGTAGCCAGAAGGTCGTTGTCAGTGGCTCCGTGTCCAGGTGGAGGCCGGTCGTGAGTGGTGTCCCACATAGGTCGTCGTGGGACTGGTGCTCTTTAACGCCTTTATCAGTGGCACAGACGGTGGGATCCAGTGCACCCTCAGCAAGTTTGGTGGCGACACCGAGCTGGTGGTGCGGTTGGCACAATGGAAAAAAGGAATGCCATCCAGAGGGACCTGGACAGGCTTGAGAAGTGGTCAAGTGCAGGTGTCGCACCTGGACTGGGGCAGTCCCAGATAGGAGTACAAGCTGGGGACTGAACTCATTGAGAGCAGCCCTGCAGAGAACAACGTGGGGGTCTTGGTGGGTGAAGAGCTGCACATGAGCCAGCAGTGTGTGCCTGCAGCTCAAAAGGCCAACCGCATCCCAGGCTGCATCAACAGAAGGGTGGCAGCAGGGAGAAGGAGGGGATTGCCTCCCTCTGCTCTGCCCTTGTGAGGCCCCATCTGCAAGTACTGCATCCAGATCTGGGACCCACAACACAGGAGGGGTGCAGAGCTGTTGGAGCAGGTCCAGAGAAGGGCCACAAAGAAGCTCATAGGGCTGGAGCATCTCTATGAGGAAATGTTGAAGGAATTGGGCTTGTTCAGCCTGGGGAAGAGAAGGCTCCAGGGAGACCTCATTGTGGCCTTCCAGTACTTGAAAGGAGCTTATAAGCAGAAGGGGGACTGACTCTTTACACGGGTTGATTGTGATAGGATGAAGGGGAATGGCTTTAAAGTAAAAGACAGGAGACTTAGGTTAGATATCAGGAAAAAATTATTTGGTCACAGATAGTGAGGTCCTGGCACAGGCTGTCCAGAGAAGCTGTGGATTGGATCCCCCATCCCTGGAGGTGGATGGGACCCTGGACAGCCTGAGCTGCTGGGTAGCAGCCCTGTCTATGACAGGGGGGTTGGAGCTTAATGATCTTTAAGGTCCCTTCCAACCTAAGACATTCTATGATTGTTTAGTTGGAAAAGAGGAGGTTCAGGGGAGACATTATTGTTCTCTACAATGATCTGAGAGCAGGTTGGTGGGGTGTCGGCTTCTTGTCCCAGGTAACAGCTATAGGATGAGAGCAAATGACCTTAACCTTTGCCAGGGAGGTTGAGGAAGGATATTAAGGACAATTTCTTCTCAGAAGGAGCAGTGAGACATTGGAACAGGCTGCCCAGGGAAGTGGTGAAGTCCCCATCTCTGAAAGTGTTGAAGAACAATGTAGATGTGGCACTGAGTGATGTGGTTAGTGGACATGGAGGAAATGGGCTGGCGGTTGGACTGGATGATTGCAGTAGTCTTTTCCAGTCTTACTGATTCTATGATTCATGCACAGCTTTGGGCTGAGGCCTGCTGGCTCTCCTGGCAGGCAGTGGGGGCTGTGTCCGGCTGTCTCTATGAGAATCCCACTCTCACTGCAGTTTTGCTCTGCACATGTCTTCTGTTTTCCCTTTCCAGGTGCTTTAAGGTCATAAGGATGTCACTGATCTCTTCCTTAACGACATTCAAAGCAGTGTTAGTTTTTCTATGATATGGTCTTACGAGACATTCAGACTTTGAACTACGGATTCCCACATTGCAAATCAGGCTTAATTACATTCTGAGCCACATCTCATGGACGTGCCCCACAGTGGTGCCTTCAGCATTGCCCTTCACAGCTCGCGTTCCATAAACACACTCTCCCTCACTGCAGTGAGGCCTTTGACCTGCAGGAGGAAAATCGTGCCTTGTGTTTGAGGATGGGCTGTGTTAATAGGGAAATGGAGGCTTTGATGCATCAGAAAAGAGCATGCCTGGCTTTGCTCTTGTTAGCAAAGAGCAAATGAATGAAGATGCAGATGCGTGGAAATGCTGTGACCTTCCTTCTTTCCTTTTTCATCATAATATCCTCCTGCTTCTCATGATAAATCTATATCTATTCACAACAGGAAGCAGACTCTGTACTTTTTTCTGTTTGCTTTTCATGTGTTCAACATCTTGCACCCAGATAAGGTCCAATAAACCAGTAGTTTCAATTTGTTTCTGGCATATTCTATTTGGGGTCTACTCTGTATGATAGATTGCAATCCATTTTAGAAATTATGATGGTAGACATGCGAGGTGAAATAAATTTTGCTGTTTTTTTTAGCTTGTCATTTGGGTATTGTAAATGTGAGTGAGTGACGTGGGGCTGTAACACAGATGAACTCGAATGTCATAGAATCATTGAAGTTGGAAAAGACAGCTAAGATCATCCAGTCCAGCCATCAGCCCATCCCCACCATGTCCACTATCTCAGTGCCACATGCACACAGTTCTTGAACACTTCCAGGCCTGGTGACTGCACCACCTCCCTGGGCAGCCTGTGCTGGTGCATTACCACTCCTTCTGAGCAGATGTGTTTCCTTATATGCAACCTGAGCTTCCTGTGGTGCAACTTCAGGCTCTTATGTCTAGTCCTGTCATTGTTACCAGGAGATGAGGCCAACCCCTGCCTCACCACAACCTCCTCTTCTCCTGACTGAACAGCTGCTCCCCATAAGATTTGTGCTTCAGACCCCTCGAGGCTTCGTTGCCTTTCTCTGGACACACACCAGAGCCTCAGTGTAGTGAGAAGCCCAAAACTGAACACAGTACTCGAGGTGCTGCCTCACCAATGCTGAGTGCAGAGGGACAGCCACCTCTCTGCTCCTGCTGACTGCACTATTGCTGATACCAGCCAGATGCTGTTGGCCTTCTTGGCCACTTGTGCACTGCTGGCTCATGTTCAGCCAGCTGTCAGCTGACACCTTCTGATACTTTTCCTCTGTGCAGCTTTCCAGGCACTCTGCCCCAAGCCTGTAGCAGTGCACAGGGTTGTTGTGACTAAAGAGTGCTTGGGCTTACCGAACCTTATACAATTGGTCTCAGCCTACTGGTCCAACCTGTTCTGATTCTTCTGTAGGACCTTCCTTCTCCCAGGCATATCAGTACTTCCTCTCCTCTTGGTGTCATCTACAGTTTACTGAGGGTGCAGTGTCCGTTTAAGAGAATAAAATCTGCTTATTGAAGTATGGCTGCCAGAGTTACTTTTAGTGTTTGCTTTTAGTACAAGAGAAGACAAATCTTCACATGTGCTACTTGCTTGCTAGCAAGCATGTCTAATGGGCTCATTATGGGCCCCTCATAGTGTTTGTGTGTGGTGAGGGGATGTCCCCAGCTGTGCAGCCCAGTGAGTGTGGGATCAGGTGGTATTGCTAATAGGGCAGTTGCTGCTTTCCAAAAGCCTTCATTTTGTTCTTCCCTCTGTGTGAAAAATGCTGCAGAAGTACAGTCTGAAAATGGTATTGCAGTCATGTGTTGTATGCGTTTAACTGCTGTCCTAAATGTTTGGGTTCACAGCTCTGTCATTAGACTGACCTTCTCCCTTGCCAGTCGTGTGAGGCAAAACTGCTTTAAGGGAGGGCAAAAGCATTAGTGAGCAATGCAGTGCTTGCTCCTTCACAGAATCACAGAATGACCAGAGCTGGAAGGGACCTCAAGGATCATGAATCTCCAACCCCCTGCCACATGCAGGGCCACCAACCTCCACATTTAATACCAGACCAGGTTGCCCAGGGCCCCATCCAACCTGGCCTTGAACACCTCCAGGGATGGGGCATCCACAGCCTTTCTGGGCAGCCTGTTCCAGTACTTCAACACCCTCTCTGTAAAGAACTTCCCTCTAACATCCAGCCTAAATCTTCCCTCCCTCAACTTAAAATCACTTCCCCTCATACTGCTGTTATCTACCCTTTCAAAGAGTTGATTCCACTCCTGTTTGTAGGCTCTCTTTAGGTACTGAAAGGCTGCAAACCCCACAGCCTTCTTTTCTGCAGGCTGAACAAGCCCAGCTCCTTCAGCCTGTCTTTGTAGGGGAGGTCCTTCAGTCCCCCGATGATCTTCGTGGCTCTCCTCTGGACCCTCTCCAACAGCTCCCTGTCTTTCTTGTACTGGGGTCTTCAAACCTGGACACAGTACTCCAGATGGGGCCTCACAAGAGCAGAGCAGAGGGGGACAATCACCTCCCTGTCCCTGCTGGCCACCCCTCTTCTGATGGAGCCCAGGATACCATTTGCTTTCCGAGCTGCAAGAGCGCACTGCTGGCTCACGTTGAGTTTTGCATCCACCAGGACCCCCAGGTCCTTCTCTGCAGGGCTGCTCTCAAGGAATGCTCCTTCCAGTCTGTAAGGACAGCTCCTTCTTCAGCTGTGGGACACTTGGAATGCTGAGTGCTGGGCCTTACAGAATTCTATCTGAATTTTGAGATGAGACTCAAAGCGGCACAAGGTGGTTGATGGTGGTTCTTTGCTGCCCCTTTGGTTACTCAGTCACAGTGACAGGTTTGAATTTTTTTGTTAAAACCTAAGCAAAATTTAAGCAGACTGTACAAATTGAGAAACAGGTTTCTCTATAACTGCTGTGACTGCAAGACTGCACAGTGGCATGTCCTGTCATGCAGAGGGTGTCAGTGTGAGACCATGATGTGTGCTGGGATAGCATTCCGTGTGGTGAGCCTGAAGCTGAGTCATATGTCTCACATTTCTGTCAGCATCTGGGAATCATTTGGTAACATGAACTGAAGTTATATGGGATCTGCTCTGCGGTTCATGCTTTCCACCTTTGAGTAGAATTATCTTGCTGCAAACATTGTGGCTTGACTTACTTTCCAGAATAATTTGGAATTTCATAGAATCAGAATCACAGAATGGCCTGGGTTGAAAAGGACCACAATGCTCATCGAGTTTCAACCCCCTGCTATGTGCAGGGTCGCCAGCCACCAGACCAGGCTGCCCAGAGCCACAGTCTGGCTGCTATCATAGCAGAAAGGTTGATAATAGAGTTTCTGCAGTAACCAAAGTGGAAAATGTTCATCAGAACTTTTATTTGTGTCTGAGGAAAGCCTTTCTGTTACCTACAGACAAGTTAGAAAACTGGCAGTTGGGATTGATGTTGGGAGAAGTATATATTAAGGCATTAAAGCTGATGGTAGCTCTCATCATAAGCAAAGTCTTGCTGCATTATAACGCTTCTGTATCATTTCACAGAACAGAAACTTCCATGTTTAGCTAATGAAAAGTGAGGAAATTTGTAAAACATAGAAATTGTGCCAGTTTTGTTTTTTCTTTCTGGAAGCCTGGATGTTTCTGATAGAAGTGGGATCTGGTAACATAAAGGTAAGGAGAGGCAGGGTGCTGCTCAGCCAGTTAGCCACGTCTTGATGGTCTGATCTACCACTTAATCAGGCTAGTGGCTGGCAGCCCTGTCCGTGGCAAGGGAGTTGGAACTTGGTGATCCTTGAGGTCCCTTCCAACCCAAGCCATTCTATAGTTCTGTGACCTCGCCACTAGCTCTGGTTGTGTTCTTCTAGCAAATTTATCCCCTAACCTAGGAAAGAAACATGGAATCTGGTGTGCCGCTTTGGAAAGGTTGCTAGCATCTCCTCTATGGCACCCCCATGACTAGGATATACGTCTTAGTTATTAAAACAATGTCATTTTTATTTGTAAATACTCTTTAATAACTATTTCTTTTTTCTTCTAATGGCAGGCCAAATACCCAGGCTTTCTAAGGTCAATCTTTTTACTTTGTTCAGTCTCTGGATGGAGCTCTTTCCTTCTGCCGAACAACAGAAGAAATCACAGGTAAAACATCAGAGCTTGCTGTTAATTGGTCTTTCTGAACAGATGCTGACAGCTTTGTAAGCTAACTACTCTGTACAGAGTAGATAGTCTGGAGAAGAAAAAAGAAAAAGCTGACAGGTTTTTTTTGAGTTTACTTAGAGGTAGAAGAAAATGCGGTGAGAGAAAAACAGCAGAACAGTTACACAAACTGCTGTTAGTGAAAACACTTGAAAGGCAAGACGTAACCCCAGCAGATGATGCAAACAGTAAAAATGCTGGTGGGTATTTTGAAAAGCATAACATGTTGTGCATTCCTTAGTACCCACTGGTTGTGAGGTAGAGAGAGTCCTTACAATGATAGTTTTAGTGGCTGTAGAGAAGTTTTCTTATGCAGCTTGTAGGTAACTACCTTAGTGACAATGAAAAGAAAGCATCTTCCAGAATGAATCTTCTGTATACCTGCCAGTTATACACTGAAGTACAGGGGTATTTGCAGTGTCCTGGAACAGGGAGTCTCTGTTTGTAGTCAGAGCTCTTATTACCCTCTTTAAAATGATGACTTCTTTGTGCACGGCAGATCCATGTGCAGAGACACGTTGCACATATATCAACCAGGACAAGAAAAGATAGGATAATAACTTGAGTGACGAGTAGTTTTCAGAGTGTTGTACTGCGTGTCCCAGACTGATTGCTGTGTTTGTGAAAGAGGGGTAGATGAACACTATGGAGACTTCAAATATAGGTTGAAACGCAGTAATTCAGTTTGGAAAGGCACGTGGGTTACATGTGGGGTTTGGTACAGCCCTATCTCTGTAAACACAGTGAAATCGAATAATTTACAGACAAGTGTTTGGGTTACAGCTGGATTGCATAATAAGATCTGCATCATCAATGGGAGAGGGAACGGCTGTTTAGGAGGGTGGACAGTGATGGGACAAAGGAGAATGGCTTTAAACTGAGGCAGGGGAGGTTTAGGTTAGATGTTAGGAGGAAGTTTTTTACCCAGAGGGTGGTGATGCACTGGAACAGGTTGCCCAAGGAGGCTGTGGATGCCCCATCCCTGGAGGCATTCAAGGCCAGGCTGGATGTGGCTCTGGGCAGCCTGGTCTGCTGGTTGGTGACCCTGCACATAGCAGGGGGTTGAAACTGGATGAGCATTGTGGTCCTTTTCGACCCAGGCCATTCTGTGATTCTGTGATCAAACTAGGCAGTATTCAGTTTCCTCACAACATGTGGGAATCCAGATGTAAGAGCTCTTGTCTATGACTTGCAGGCTTTTTCCTTATTTAGAACCACAATTCATGTCTATAATTGAAAAAACAGAAATAAAACTAGAGGACCTATTGGGTCCCAGGATGATCAAGATTAAGACAGAAATTGAAATCATCAGCACTTACAGTAGCTGAATGATTGAGAGAGGCTTTAAGTTGTAGTTGGTGGAATTTTCTGTGCAGCTCCTGAGTTTTCTAATGGTTAAAGCTATAGTCAGAAAAAAACAGGAATTGGTGACAAGTGTGAAGTTTGACAGAGACGCAGCACTCAGGTATTAAGATCCACGTGTAGGCACTGCTTAGTGGAAATACAGCAGAGGTTATTTAATGATCCATATGGAAATTTGTACCGGGGAGCACTGTACTCCATTCCTGGTGGATGAGTGTTACCAGGGAGAAGCTGTGATCTCCCTGTGGACGTAATGCTAATAACCATGCATTGTTTTCCGTAGGTAAAGAAGAGCGGTCTGGTTGTGGTGAAAAACATGACCATTATTGGTCTTCACTGTTCCAGTCCAGACCTGCATGCTGGTCAGATCGCGCTCATTAAACATGGATCGAGACTTAAAAACTGTGATCTTTACTTTTCCAGAAAACCGTGTTCAACTTGCTTAAAAATGATTGTAAACGGTAAGAGCTGATTGTAGTGTAGTGGGAACAGCTGTTACACTTGCCATTGGTGGTGTCAGAACGTCCATTTTCTCCTTGATTATCCTAGCTGATTGGCAGCTCATGGAAGCCTGCACTGTTATTTTCCACAGTATTGAATGTGCATTTCCTGAAACTGATGATCAGGATATTAGGGTTTGCTATTGAGACTGTATTTCTTTGTGCAGCAACTCTTGTTTGTGGTGCCTGTCTCTCAGTGCTGAGGTTCTGACACAGCCATTGCACTTTCCCAGAACAACCCTAAGCCTGATGACCAGATCCTGTTTACTACATTTTTAACGTGTCCTCTCATTGCATATTAGTGGCACAGAATAAAGATGGTGCAGAAATCACAAGGAAGTACTTTAAGTCTTCCTTTTTTCAAGTGAGATGAAGACGGATTATTCACTTCCTGATTAGATTTGAATCTCAGCAGCAGTTTCTATTATCACAGACATTTTTATGCGTTGGCAATGTATCTGTTATAGGTAAGATGCAAAATTATGCTGCCACAAAGATGGTGGAACTTAAGAAATTTCTGTTTTTGTTTATGATCTGGTTATCGAATCAGGTGGGCTCCTGCCATTCTTATTGCCCAGCCATACCTTACGCAGCACATGGGGCCTTAAAAGACTAAAAACAGGGTTAGGCAATAATGTATTGCTTTTGAGGTTTGTGTCCCACCGTACTTCAATGGCTCCTTTTTCTGCATTGTCTTCTCTTCCAGCTGGAGTGAACAGGATTTCTTACTGGCCTGCAGATCCTGAAATCAGCTTGCAGAATGAGGCATCCAATCCTGTGATGACCAGTGATGCAAAGCTCGATGCCAAAGCAGTAGAAAGGCTGAAGTCAAACAGCCGTGCTCGGGTGTGTGTGTTGCTTCAGCCCTTGGTGTGCTACATGGTGCAGTTTATTGAAGAAACTTCCACCAAGCTTGATTTTATTAAAAAAATAGCCAAATCCCAGCCTGACTTTAATACTGACTTTTATACTGCATGTAGACAAGAAAGAATTAAAGAATATGAAAGTTTATTCCTGATTTCAAATGAGGAAACACACAAGCAAATATTGATGACCATAGGACTGGAGAACCTCTGTGAAAATCCATACTTCAGCAATCTTAGGCAAAATATGAAAGATCTGGTCTTGGTCTTGGCCACGGTGGCTGCCAGCGTCCCTGTCTTTGGTTGCTTTGGATTTTACAGCAGTGAACCACAGCCAGCAAATGAAACATGCCATCAGGGTTTGCCCCAAGAGATTGCAAGGCACTGTATGGTACAAGCCAGGCTGCTCGCCTACCGGACAGGTGAGTTGTTACTGCAGGGGATAGGAATGGATCTCGTGTGCGTGAGTTCCTGGTTATTTCATCTTGCTTCTATTGAATTTCCTAGTTTGAGCATTACCACATATTTAAGGAATGGCAGCAATTAAGTAATAAATCCGAGGTTTTGATGGTTTGCAATCTCAGATCGTCGTGCTGCTCTGTATGTGTTGTTGGCACGTGTGTTCTTATTTATACATATTGGTTGCTTCTCAGCATCTGGCAAAAAATGGACCTGACAAAATCACAGAATGGCTGGCCTTGCTGCTGAAGCACCCCCAGCCTTTGCAGTAGGCTCTCAACACTTTAAAGCTCTCGGTCTTCCTGCGTTCCTTTCTCCTATCCAGAGAACAACCTTACTGTAGGATGTAATATGTTAGTATGTACATGACTTAGAAGTACCTCATTTGTTATTTACTGCTAAAATTTATGTGTTTCAGAGGATCATAAAACAGGAGTTGGAGCTATTATTTGGGCAGAAGAAAAAGCAGTAAGTATTTTGAAAGTTGCCTTCTCTTGCCCTTGTATATGCTTGTATCTGCTTTGGGCTTGTGTTTCTTTTAATTTGCATATGCATAGTAGGTAAACATTTGAACCCATGTGTAAACTTGTACACATGTGCAGTGCTGTAGAAAGCCCTGTACTTCTCACTATTTGTACCTAACTTTTCACTGCTTATGCTCTCAAGATGAAGGGGAAGTATAAATCAGGTCAGTAAGTGCCACGGTGTATCTGCCTCTTCTTAGCATGCTCGCTTCCCTAATTGTCAGTATTCCAGATGACCAAATCCTTTACACTTTTTGTTCCCTCTGACACTATGCAAAAAGGGAAGCCTTTAGAGCCCAGTTTGGTCTGTTGTCTGTGTTGCTGCAGTTTGCCTGCGTGGCTTCATGGAACAGCACTGTGCAGACATGCAGCAGTTGGCTGAGTTCTCTTCTAACTGCTGTAACTTGGCGTGAACTTAACAATGCTTGCATACTAAACAAAATGTGAAAGCATATATTGCACAATGCTGTGACTCAGTACTCAGTTTAAACATCTCAAAATTCCCTGATTTGTTTACTGTTGCAGAGAAGCTGTGATGGAACAGGAGCAATGTATTTCGTAGGCTGCGGTTACAATGCCTTTCCTGTTGGATCTGAATATGCTGATTTTCCACACATGGATGACAAACAAAAAGATCGGGAAATCAGGAAGTTCAGATACATCATACATGCTGAGCAGAACGCCTTGACATTCAGGTAATGAGTTGATCTTTACCACCAAAAAAAAAGAGACAACAGTTCAGAAATAATTTTGTGACAGAAGCACGATGTCACTGTGAAGAGACGTGGCTTGCAGTCCCTGTCTTGTTTATACTTACGGGGCAGAACGTGGATGTGCACAGACACAGTCAGCTGTGGGGTTTCTTCAGACAGAATCTAAGTGAACTTGATTTTGAAAGGAAATTCACTCCAGTGTGTGGCAGCCATCTTTCAAATATAAGCCACCGCCTCTGCTTCCTGCTAGGACTGTGCTATAACCTGAAATATGGAAGTGTGGCAATTGTTGAGGCTCCTGACGCCACATGTGATATGTATGGAAAGGTAGGAGGGGCATTTCATTCACAGGTAGTAAAACCAGACCAGGTGGTTCTGTATGCTCCTGCTCTTAAGCAGGAATAAGCTGATTGTGAGAGCAGGTGCTAGATAGCACAGCACTTCTTTGCTTCTTCCTGTTGTCACCATTTGGAACTATCAAGATGTAAATGCTGAAATTCTGTTTTCTGACTGCTTGTAGGTGTCGAGAAATAAAGCCAGACGAGAGAAGCATGATATTTGTGACAAAATGTCCTTGTGATGAATGTGTCCCTTTAATTAAAGGGGCTGGTATCAAGCAAATCTATGCAGGAGATGTCGATGCGGGAAAAAAGAAAGCAGATATTTCCTATATGAAGTTTGGTGAACTGGAGGGTGTAAGCAAATTTACTGTAAGTATCTAAAATACGTGTTACAAAAACCTGTGGGTAGCATTCATGGGAGGGTGGAGTGAGCAGTCACAGAGCTGGCATACAGGAGTGTGCTGTTTAATCAAGCGTGAGTGGCACTGAGGTTGCTCTGGAACCTCTGGGGAGGAATGCTGTGCCATGTTCTGTGTGGTGCCTGTTTTCTGGGATGTCATTTCCTTGCAGATTGCCCTCTGACTTGTGGCTGCTTGTTGACACGGCGGTTCACCACGCTGAAGTTCTCCTCAGACCTCCGTTCTGCTGCATGGGGTGGGAGATGGCAGCATGCTTTCATAGGCCCTTCTGGCAGCTCTGCAAAGAGCTGTGGTGGGTTTTGAGGGTGGCCAAGTGCACCTGTGCTCAGGGTGCTCACCATACCAAACTGCAGTCCTGTTAGTCTCTGCAGGCTTGCTTCCCCATCTCAGGGGAATAAATGGCCACACAAGCCCTAAGGGATCTTTATCCTCAAAGGAAGTGTGTGTCTGAAGGAGAGCCCTTCTTTTCCCAGCTCACAGCAAACAATGGAAAGTTACTTCTTTCTCCCCTTGCTCTTTCTTCTGTCTTCTGGAATAAGTGAGGGGTCTGGAGCACAAATCTTATGAGGAGTGGCTGAGGGAGCTGGGATTGTTTAGTCTGGAGAAGAGGAGGCTCAGAGACTGCCTGAAGGGAGATTGTGATGAGGAGGGGTTTGGCCTCTTCTCCCAGGCAACAAACAAACATAAGTTGTGCCAGAGGAGGTTTAGATTAGACATGAGGAAGAACTTTTTCTCTCAGAGTGGTCAGGCACTGCAATGGCTGCCCAGGGAGGTGGTGGAGTCGCCGTCCCTGGCAGTGTTCAAGAGGTGCCTGGATGAGGAGCTGTGAGATTTGGTTTAGTGCTTGGGGTAGCAGTGGAGATGGGAGGATGGTTGGACCAGATGATCTTGTAGGTCCTTTCCAAACTTGTGCTTCTATGATTCTATGAAATAAACTTTTTTTTCTTCTTTTACCAGTGGCAGTTAAATCCATGCCACCCTAATGCCGTTGAGTTCCATGATCCCACAATGAGGGAAAGTAAGTGGTTTTTTCATTAATGTGTTTTATGACTGAAGTCTGTAAGTGAGATCAAGCGTTAAACAAATCTGAATTCCTCTGGGGATTGATTTCAGTTAGTTACATTTTTCCATGAATGCTTCTCTAAACTTTTTGAATAGATGAACTGATGGTAAGTCAAAAATCTAAGCTTGTCTTAACAAATGCTGGGCACTTGCACACAATTACAAAATCTTCTAATGCTATTGTTAAGATCATTTCAGACTACATTACTACGTTTTATGTTGTGTTCTGTGAAGACTTTAAGGGACTTGGAGTGCCCTTCTTCTCAGAAGAAATTAGACTCTGAGTCACTTAAATGAAGGAGAACCTACAGCAGTGTTTTTCAGTGAACATTTATACATACATTATTTTTTCCCTTCATCTTTGTTATCTTTGAACTGGGGTACTTTTGTTATTGTAACTGGGGCACGGGTCCCCAGATCCTTGTCTACCTGCACCCTTGTACAGGGGAGCTGCCACCTTCTGAAAGCAGTGTGTTTATGCTGAAGCCTTTGTGTGCTACAGAGGGGTCCTACCCTGCTGGCATGTATGTAGTTTGCTCTGAAAGTAGTGCCTCCTATTTATTTCCATGGAAACTACAACAGATATAAGAGCCAATAACACTTTGATAAAGGAAATTCTCATCTGTAAAACACTATTTTTCAACATAGTCACCACGATTAGCTATGCATTTTCATCAGCAATGAACAAGAACCTGCATGCCGTGCTTGTAAAAATCTGTACCAGCAGAGGTGACTTCTATTTCACAGCTGCTATGATGGCACCTTTGCTAGGAAATTGTTGCCTGTGTAGCCTATCATTCATCAGCAGATAGAAGTCAGCATGTGTCTAATCTGGTCTACACAGAGGGTGTAGTAGGACAGTCCAGCCAAGGCTGGCAATTTGCTCTGCAGTCTTCAAACTGGAGCCTGGTGTTACTGCGTTGCAAAAGAAAACTCGTCTTCTGCTCTGGAAGTTTAAGCCTTCAGCTTAGCCAGTGTCACAGTGTAGCAGTTACAGTGTCATGGTTTTTCTGAGCTCCAGGAAATCCAGAAGGATCACCACTTTGCTATCCCAAAAGACAGCATCCATCACTTGATGTGCTGAGGGCTGCATCTCGAACGTTCAGCAGGTGTCAACGAAGTGTCAGTTTTTTTCTGCATGGAGAGATTCAGTGACACACCTTTGCTTCATCTTCCACGTCAGAGTGCCCCGCTGCAGCCATCTGTCACACAGCAACAAAATGTAGTGGGATATTGGTGGGAAAGTTCATCCTTTACTGCCACACCTCCAAAGGCAGAGAGCTGGCAGTAGCTCCAAGCTATGAGTACTGTGCTAAGAGCGGGTGTTTTGTAGCACATGAATAGCTACATACCACAAGCTAATTCCAGCTAATGCCTAACAGGTAGGGAGCTGTGGAGAAATCTCTTCCCAGCAATTTCCTTACAAGTCGTGGGAAGAAAGAAAGAGAGAAGGCTTCAGGGTAGTGTTTAGTAATCGTTGCATAACGTCAGGGTGTGTTCGTCCCTCTGTGTCCTAATGGGTTTCAGCTGAAGAAAGATTCACCCTGTGGTACCTTTTGTCTGACACCTCTTTAACGCTTAATTTCTCTAACAGTGTTTCCTTTGGGATGGCATGCTTCCCTTCTCAACACTGTTCCAGTTTGCTCTCTTTCTGCAATACACGTTCCTCTTGCAATGACTATTGTGTGATCCCTTCATGGGAAAGAAGACAGCCTCTCCCACCCCCACCCAGTGTTACTCCCCTGTGCCTGTATGCGTGGAATATTTAGACAATGCCTCCTCTTGCATTAACATTTCACTTTTGTTTTTTCTCTAGATGGAGTTCAGAAGACAAAATCGGTAGATGATCAGCAGCACCAGAACAAGAAACTGTGTCTTGGTCACTACTGAATAATCACTTAAGCACTCCTGCATTCTTGCTCTGTGCTTTTTATAACGCAGCCTGTTTGCACTTTCAAATAACGAAGGATTTTATTTATTGTTTGGAAAGTGATTTTTAGAATAACTTTATTTATGATGCCTTGAATGTTTTTCAGAATTACTTGAAGGTCTTTTTAATTTAGAAGTTCCTGGGGAAAAAATGCTGCTTGTATTTTCTATGAAAGTAATTGGGTGGCAAATAATTGTTAATGCATAAGAACAAATGCAGAAATTTGTTGCTGGTAGATCAGAGGAATAAAAAAATGTTATCTCTTTGCTCGGTGTAGAGATTGAGGGAATGATTTCTAAGTTCTGGGTTCACAGAATGCAGAAATAAGCTGTGGTTCAAGTAGAGTGCTCAAAGGAATCTCCAAGAAAACGGTAGATAAGTAACTGGCCCAGTTCCTCAAAGTGGCTTTTGCTTCTCAGTCTGTATAATGGAGACACTGCCACTGGGACATAATGGTTGTTGGAGAAGTGATTTGGAGATTGTTTGTCTCTCATATATAATTTCTTCCAACTACCATGGCAGCACAGCTGTTTTCTTCTGTGGTACTTGCATTGCTGGGGTGTGTTCTTTGTGCTGCCTCAAGCACATCCCATCTGAATTAACCTACACCTTTGCTTCCATCCTTAAAACCCTGGAAGAAGAACTGTGTCCTAAGATTCTGCTTAGTTTCAATTTGTTCTTTGCAGGCTTTGGATAGCAAAGCTGTGATGGGACAGCATGCAAAGCAGTACTAACACAGCATTAGCTGCAGGGAGACTGTTCTCACGCAGTCTGGTCCTGCAGTTTAAGGTAGGTTCTTGAACTGCAGCAAGGAGCTGACATTCCTTACGGCTCATCAGATAACTTCATATCAGAACTGGGATGCTTGTATCCTCTTACACCATGAGAATCTGCTCTTACTTAAGCTGGAGGAAGGCTTTCTCTCAGTTTAGTGAAACTGAACACAGCCTCGGGTAAGGTGAGAGGTGTGTGCAGTCAGCAGCAGAAATCTTGCCAGGCAAGTGGCTGATCCACCATCACTGCTGTCCTTTCCCAGGGCCAGGATGAAAACATGACCCTGTTTGTCAACCAAGGGAAGGATGGTGAAATCCACTTTTTGCATCACACCTCAAAAATATGCACAGTAGCTCATGAGGAAGTGTCTGATCTGCTGCTTCTTTGAACTGCCACCAGCTCGTGTGGTCCAGAGCACAGGACCTGAGATCCTGGACCAGCAGGTCCAGCTGCAGGAGGTCTGTGCCTCTGTCAGACAGAGTCCAGCTTGGGCCTGGGGAGGATGTTCCTGTTCTGGATGTCATGCAACCCTCGCAAACTGATTTTCTTCCTCTCGTCAAGTTTCATGGCTTGTAACTTCCACTCGAGTTTAAAACTGGATATTGGTGCTTCGTAAGCAAGACTGTCATTATAATCTGTTCTAAATCAAACATTTTACTTTGTCATACTGTTTTCCTTCCATTTCTTCCTGTGTAAGAGTGATTACTCTTGGCTTTTTCTACAGATTAGAAGAACCCTGTCTAGATTTAAGCACCCCCGTACCCTGACACCTTCATGTTTCCATCATCCATCAGCAGTGCTTTCCTGCTTGAGGTAGCAGCAGGGAAAAAATAAGTGCAGGTTTAAGGCCTGTTGAGGTTTTATCCTCATCGGTCAGCTGGTATCAAAGCAGGATAAGTCTGTGTCTTTATGGGAACGGCTGAGATGGAAAAGTCCCTGAAAGGTGGTGGGTGGCCTGGGTACAGGGAGAGGCAAATCACGATGTACGCGTCAAAAATGGCACATGTTAAATAACTGCACTGCAGTGGATGCTGCTGTAACCTTCATGAGTGACGATTTTACCTTCAGTTTTTATTGGTTTTTTAAAAGGGATTTTTGTACAAAACTTCCTGTGAAACTTGGAATTGCTTTTGAGGCTGAAGGCTTGCAAGTCTGACCTGCTGTCACGCCATCTTTGGATGGATTCAGAGCAGATTTGAGCAGAGGTTCACAAATGTCCGTAGGCTCTGATGATCTGTGTAACTCTGCTGTGTTTCCTGCTGGGATTGCAGATTAGGAAGAACGTGAGCAGGGGCTTCTCTTGACCCACAGACTGCAGGCACTGCTGCGCATCTCGTCTGCTCGCCCAGGGGAGGCATGCGAGGTCGGGCATCTCCTGCTGCGCTTCTGCAAATGAACTGTAGGGTGTGTGTTTCTTACATCAAAAGAACGATGTATTTAAAGTTAAGAAATGTAAAACTATATATTTTATATGTAAGTATGAAATTTCTGTACGCATTTTGGTTCATCTCAGAGCAGTCTTTTCAATTGCAGGTATGAGCTGCTGCTAACAGTTTGGCCTCTTCACCAAGAATTACAGAAATTCTCTGCTAATTGTTTGCCTTACAGCAAAAGATGTTTTCTGCTAATAAATGATTCTGGCAGTAAGTACTGAAGTGTATTGCTGAGCTGCAGATAGAACGTTGGGCTTTCATTGCCTGGATCCGGTAAGCGACATCGCCTGCAGACTGGCAAGGCAAAGCAGGCAGATGGTTTCGGTCGATTTCTAACAGATGCAGGTGGTCGTGTCACTAATGAAGGTGTCACAGTGCCACATATGTGGGGCTGACTGTTCTGCACAGCAAGGGAACTGCAGAGAGGTGTTGTCAAACACTGCACTCATCGTCCTTGGGCTCCTTCTGCTTCCCAGGCTGCGCAGTGCCAGTTCTGCAGCCCACATACGTGGCACACCTGGACAAAGCATTTTCAGAGCCGGGGCAGAATGCGCTGCAGTTCTGCTCTCTTACAGAAGGTGGTAGCACACAGCAGCTTCCCTTGGAACTGCCACTCCGCTGGCAGCTCCCTCCCGCTCTCCTGTTGCAGCAGTCGCACAGCTGACAGCTTGAAGTCAGGGATGCTCCCTCCTGACTCCTGGCGCGGCTGCGGGGTGGGCAGTGGAGCGGAAAGGCTGCAGCCCTCGCTTCCTCCCGCTCCTCTCCCAGCACTGAGCTCGGTCCTGCGGCCACAGCTCCCCCACGTGCCGATCTCGGGGAAATGCGGAGCTGTTGGAGCGGCGCCCGGGCCGTGAATGAGTGAACCGATGGAAACAGCGAATTCCATCTTCAGCTCGAAGACCCCGTCTTTATTTAAGGGGCGTGAAACAGCAGCACGGTGATTGACGTCTCGTTCACCCTTTCTTTTGCTTCTTTCAAAGAGCCGTGCAAGTTGAGCTTGGAGCTGACCCAGCTGAGGTGTGCTGGCAATATCCGGCGTCAGGAGAAGTTCCTTGTGCAACAAACTGCAGAGAACCCAACAAGTCCTTTCAGTGTACAACCAGCCCTTTCTTCCTCTTTTCCCACACGCACAGACTTCCCACCAGTCCTTACTGCTGTGGTTGGATGCCTGCCACCACAGTGGGCAGAGGATGGCAGCTGGGCACGTTCTGCTCACACCAACACTGGCAGTAGGTATCACCTCTCCTCGTGCTGCAGCCAGACCACAGCCTGAGGTGCCAGGAGAAGGGCAGAAAGAATCTGGCACCATGCAGGCTTGCTCTCCCGAAGGGCAAGAGGGGAAAAAAAAAAGACAGCAATCATAGAGATATGGCTTACTTGGTAATCATGCCTTTAATAGCTTGTAAATATTTTCTTTTTAAATTCCAGGCAACTAAGATGTGCTTTTTTGTGTGTGTGTATATCTGACATCTGAAAAAAAAACAAAAACCAACAATACAAACCCATGACTCCACAATCTGTTCAGTTTCATCCCTTTTTCATAGCACATAAATAGAAGTATCAGTCACCCCAATATACAACAGTTTTATGTTGGAAAAAGCCTTGCTCCATTTTCACAATTCAGTTGGCCTTTCTATCTGAAGCATCAGTGCCAGCTTTGGCTGCAAAACAACCTTGCAACAAACAGCACAACTCAGGACTTCAGCTGGCAAGAACTCAAGACATTTCCACTCCTTGCTCTCAAACTCCACATCCCGATGAAGCCCCAGAGAACACCTTCAATCCCACTGAAAAAAGACCCCATACTGTCCCAACACACACAGGAAACACTGTTTGGATCACACAGCTTATTCAACCTTGAATGAGTGAGCAGTGCAATGACTGCCTCTGCGGAACCTGAATCCACGTGTGAACGACCAGATAGAAAACACCAGGTAAGCAGCAGCCTTTAGGTGCTCCAAGGCCTCAACGTGAGCACCCAACAGATGCTCTCAGCTTTGAGAGCAGCTCCTGCAGCCCCAGGGCCACACAGCAGCTCACATTGAGGCCACATCTCACCAAGAGAGGTGTTCTCACCTTCCTCCAGCTGGGCACCCTGCAGTGCATGATTCTGCCCAGCCAGTTGCCTTCATCCACCTCCCCAGCGCAGACTGAACAGAAAACCTCTGATCTAGGGTTAAAGAAAGCTCAAAGACGAGAACACAAAAGCAAAGGAAAAACGTGACTGTTTTGGCTAAAAAACCAGAATCTGTAACTGCAGCTAACTCCAGAGACAAATATACTCTTTCACAGTCATGTGTGTGTGTGCAGCACTCAAACAAAGTCACAGCTATGGGTGCAGAGGGAAAGCATCGGCACACAGGAGCTCCTCGTGCGCTCCCCAGCATGCGAGCCTGCCCACAGAGATAAGCTAGGAGGTTTGTCCTCCTTGAGCACAAATGGCAGAGCGGCTTCTAGTTCAGAGGGATTCTAAACTGACATAAATAATTCTAGTCTCGATTAAAAATAATATATTATTCTAGGTTGTTTTTTCTTTTAGCTTTCATGTAAAACCCCTATACTCTTGACATCTAGGAACAAAGACAAAATAAAAAACCCAGGCACTTGCCGTGCCTTCTCAAGCACTACTGTGGTGTTTAAGGGACACTGAGGAACTTAACAGAAGAGATTAATGCCTGCAGTGGAAAATGAGTGGAGTTCTTTATGCCGTCGGCTTCTTCAAGTCTCGGATTTGCTTGATCAGGTAGTTCTTCTCATCGGTGAACTGCTCATCATCCGTCCTCTCTTTCTGGAAATTGCTCAGAAACTCAATGAGCTTGGGTTGGTTTTTCAACAGGATCTCCACGATGGGCTGCGTTTTGTTTGGACTGGCCACAAAAACCTGCATGCACACAAAGCAGGAACGGCAGGGGGAGAAGAGGGAGAGGAGCCGTCAGTCACAGCGCTGCCGCAGCCACAGCTCCCCAGCCATGCAGGCTGGCAGAGCAGCACTGCACACACCTTGTCCCAGGGCACGGAGCTACGGATGTGTTGGTTCAATGCAACCTGGAGCAAAGCTGTGCCTGTGTGTGGTGTCATTTCCCCTCCGTTTTACTCTTTGTTGATAAAACGCTTGATTGCAAACCCCGCTGTCGAGAGCGGGCTATCCTTCCTCAGCCTCCCCCACATGCAAGTCTTAAGACATTTGTTAATTATAAGTAGAATGGAAAAAGCTCCCTGTCAGCTTTGATATCCTTTCCATACTAACCCAGGCCTAAAATTAGCCTTGCCGACTTTGTTTTGGTTTGGAAGACACGTCAGAGGCTCTGCTTCCCCTGGCCTAATCCGATCCCAGCAGCGTGGAAATTTACAGCAGGCGGAGCAGTGCTGTGGGTGCACCCAGCTCCGGTCTGCCCTCAGCGGGGCCAAGCAGAGAGGCGGGCCATCCTCAGGGGGAAATTCTTCACTCAGAGGCCCTGGCACAGCTGCCCAGAGAAGCTGTGGGTGCCCCAGCCCTGGAGGCACTCAAGGCCAGGCTGGATGAGGGCCTGAGCAGCCTGAGCTGCTGGCTGGCACTGCCCATGGCAGGAGGTTGGGACTGGGTGGGCTTTGAGGTCCCTTCCAACTCAGACGACTGAATGGCTCTGTGACAGGACACCCAGCCACTCACCAGCACTGTGGGCAGACTGCTCTCAATAATCACTTGCTCAGGCTTATCTGAGCTGCTTTCTCATTTTCCTTCTTGTAAAACCCATAGCTCTGAACATCACCCCTGCACTGATGCTTTTGCATTTTCTCTGGCATCCTGACAACGGGAACTCAAGGCCAGCAGTGCCAGGACCCAAGGAGGCCAAGGAGATGGGGGCTCAGCCAGCACACCACGCCAGAGCCCCGGAGGAGCTCCCATGCGGGCTGGTGCTGAGGTTGCCATGGCTGGTCAACAAAACAGTGCTGAGTGCTTGTGCAATGACACAAATAACTTGAACTATTCGCTACCCAACGAGAAGAAATTAAGGATGGACAGAACTGGAAAACAGCCAGTTTCCCTTTGAGCCCGTTCAAACCAGAATAAAAACAAACATCTGCTTACAGCACAGAATGGCATTTTGTCCGGACCAATGCAGGCAGAACTGTTGCTCAGCCCAGCCCATGGCTCCCACAGGTTTCCTCTCCTGCCTTTTTGCCCACATGCACATCTGGGCTATATCCTGCCATGTGGGAGTTCCCTGCATGCAGCTGTATGACATGAGGTGCAACGCGCACAGTGACCCACGCATGGCCAGGCTGTGGTCCCTCTGCAATGAACAGGGACATTTACAGCCTTATGCTGCATACAGCTTCCCAACAGCAGCACCCACAGCCGGGACTCTCAGGGATCCCTTCGGGGCAGCCACCCCACGGTAACAGCTGTCCTGCAAGGTGCTCCAGTCCTTCACAGAGCAACATCTGGCCAAGAGGGCCAACGGCATCCTGGCCTGCATTAGAAATAGGCCAGCAGGAGCAGAGAGGTAATCATCCCTCTGTACTCAGCACTGCTGAGGCCGCACCTCGAGTACTCTGTTCAGCTTTGGGCCCCTCACTGCAAGAAAGACATTGAGGCCCTGGAATGTGTCAAGAGAAGGGAAACGAAACTGGTGAGGGGTCTGGAGCACAAGTCTTATGAGGAGCAGCTGAAGGAGCTGGGATTATTTAGTCTGGAGAAGAGGAGGCTCAGGGAGACCTCACTGCACTCTACAACTGCCTGCAGGGAGGTTGTGATGAGGAGGGGTTTGGCCTCTTCTCCCAGGCAGCAAACAGGACCCGAGGAAACAGCCGCAAGTTGTATCAGAGGAGGTTTAGATTAGACATGAGGAAGAACTTTTTCTCTCAGAGTGGTCAGGCTCTGGAATGGCTGCCCAGGGAGGTGGTGGAGTTGCCGCCCCTGGCAGTGTTCAAGAGGTGCCTGGATGAGGAGCTGTGAGATTTGGTTTAGTGCTTGTGGTAGCAGTGGTGATGGGAGGATGGTTGGACCAGATGATCTTGTAGGTCCTTTCCAAACTTGTGCTTCTGTGATTCTATGATCAAATCCAAATTGCACAGCGTCACTGACTCCAAAAGTACCCCAATGTCCTTCCTCTTGACAAACCATTAAGTACATTCACCACTTGGCAGACTGTGTATACGCTTGCTTTCACAGAACACATACACAGCCAGTCATGGAACACAGGATGCCTGCATTTTCTGTCCCACAGTAAGAATGACAACATGACTATAACAGCATCTCATCCCCTGTTGTGTGACAAATGGTCCCTGTTGGCACAATCTCCCATCATTCATTTTAGCCACATTTTCCTCTGGTCTCAGGATAGATTACTCCAAAGCCTCTCCAGAAAGAGATGTTGTCCATCCTGAAAAAAACCTTTATAGAGCCAATTAACTTGTATGGAATTCCATGAAATTCAAGGATGTCATGCCTCACTGAGGAAACATCCATGCACATTTCCACCCTACTACAACCCATCTACTGTTCTCTCCATCTGTGCTGCCCAGGAACTGACATCACAAATTAATTATTATGCCAAACACATGCAACCAGTAAGCTGCCCAGGGAGGTGGTGGAGTCGCCGTCCCTGGCAGTGTTCAAGAGGTGCCTGGATGAGGAGCTGTGAGATTTGGTTTAGTGCTTGTGGTAGCAGTGGTGATGGGAGGATGGTTGGACCAGATGATCTTGTAGGTCCTTTCCAACCTTGTGCTTCCATGACTCTATGATTCTGCCAGCCCCTGGGCATTTGCTGACACCTGACAGACTGTCAACTGCACACTGCTGCCTGCAACAGCTGGGGAGGTTCAGGTTAGAGATTAGGAAACATTTCTTCTCAGAAAGAGTGGTGATGCAGTGGCACAAGCTGCACAGGGAGGTGGTGGAGTCCCTGTCCCTGTGTTCAAGAACCGTGTGGGTGTGGCACTGAGGGACGTGGTTAGCAGGCATGGTGGGATGGGCTGATGGCTCCATGAGATGTTCTTAGACGTCTTTCCAACCTTAATGATTCTGTGACTCTATGAACGCAATA